TACACACACACTCACATATATAGTTAAGAAAATATGAAATATTTAAGGAAAAATACATAACAAAAAATAAAGATAGAATGTCTAAGACAAAATGAAAGAATGAATTATATTTTAGAGGAAGCAAAAATCATTCCCAAAGCTGTCAAATCTACTTGCTTTTCAGATTATCTGTACTTCCATGCCCCAAATGATAAATAAAAAAAGCAATCATTGTAGTCAAGGTTTTCTTCCCTTGTTTGAGAGAATATTAACCTATATCACTTAAATTTAATTATTTCTGAATTATGACATTATGGATATTGCATCAGTTGTTAACACATTTTTTTTCTGTAATGTTACTAAATTAAGGCTGTCATTTCTAAAATTAGGATATTTCAAAATACGAAATTTAATATTCTAAGACTGTCTCTGCTCATTCTATGTTTCTCTCTGTAATAAAAACTAAGTTCTCATCTAAATATAATCCTCTTGGAAGAGACAAAACTTGAAATCTCTCCATGTATTTTATACCTGGGCTAATGTGGCAATCTGTGGCTGGGCTTGAACTGTCATTTGCTGGTTTTCAGCTTCTGTTACTGCTGCATCTCCACTCTGCTGGTTTTCTGCTCCAGATTCCATGGTCATTTAGTTACCTACAATAATATGGAAGAGTGTTACAAGCACTACAGTGCTTTGTGCTTTTGTGACTTTAAAGGCAAATTTCAAGTTATAAATAGGTATTTGTGGTGGTTATGTTAGCAAATGCACTCAGAAACTTAATTTAAATATAATGTAGCTAAATTATTGCCATAATTGTTCAAATGTGAATTGTAAAGTTTGAGTTCCTTCAAAAAAGAAAAATACTTCCTTACCCAAGTCATTTTCCCTCTAATAGGATATTCCATCTATAAAAAGGGATACCTCTTCCATGAACCTCCCTTAGTCATAACGGAGGTAGGAGAGACCCAGTGGCAGTAATGAAATATTAAGTTTTTAAAACTATACCAATGAGGACATTCAGGTAAGATAAGTGTGCTGATGACAGGGGCTCTGAGATATGATTTCATGGCACATTCTTTAAGGGTATTTATTCCCTCCTATGAAAGTTAAGAAGCAAAAAAACAAAACAAAACAAAACAATTTCCATAGGTGCTAGGACAAAGTCAGCTCAACTTAAGAGTCCAAGTTGTAGGGTATCAAGATGATGGGAAAGTGAGACAAATGGCCACAGAGATGAGTTAGAGGCCCAAATACTAAAGTCTGTGTTAACTTCTCACACTATGCATAGGATGTTACACTATACACATGTACAATCACACACACACAAAATTTAAAAAATTAATTGCAAATTCTGGCAAGTCATTTAAGGCTATCTTTTTTACCCTTTGAAACCTGCTTTGCTAGTGGTCTAGTATAAACTGTTGGGCAATATGGAATTGGATGACAGCGAAAGTTAAGTGTGTAGAAATTCCTAGCAGCAGCTAGGTTAGGGAGATTAGGGAAATTTTTGTTAACTGTTGGAACAAGCGTGTCTGAAGAACTCACAATGAAAGGGGTTACTTTTATTTGTGTAACTCTTTTTATCACAGTGTCTTCTAAGTTACTTATCAATAACATAGTAACTCCATGAATAACACAAAACTCCAATGCTGTTCCAGATCTTATTATTTTATAACACTGAATTTGATAAGCAAAATTGTCACTGATCCTTATGTGATTATTACATGCCATTAAGAGGTATCTGATACTAGTATTTCTTGCCATCATCCACGGGGTTCTACAAAAAGAAAATGTATTACAAATGATATTAAAAATGCAAGTTAAAATGTCCCTGTGGAAATGAATACAAATAATTTAGAAATAAAATTTACAAACACAGGTGGCAAAGGGAAGGACCATCAGACTTGAATAAATAATTACTTAAACATTCACATAAGAAAATCAACCAAGGTAAATGCATTGGAAGAAAATATTTACAACATATAATCAACATCGTAACACCTGGAGTACAGAGGACTACTAATCAATTAAAAATTCTTATTATTGACTAGATCACAAAGATATAATCAAGGGTATTCAGTGTACAATTTTTTCTTTTCTTCTTCTTTTTTTTTACCAGTGAAGTCTTTATCATTAAAGAAATCAGAATTAAAAAATTAGAATAAAAAAATGAAGTCTTCCCATAAAGTAATGGAATAAAAAGCTTCTCCAGATAGAGTGAATTGTATTTCATAGAATATACTGTAAAAGAGAAAAGCACTTGCGTGAAAAACAAGCAAAACAAATTGCTGTTGAGGTATATACATGAAAAAAGGCATGGAAAGTTACACACTAAACTTCAAGTGGTAGTTTTGAAAAGAGGAAGATTTAATAGCATCATGCAGGATGTTGACTTTGACAATTAAAAAAAACTTACTGCCAGAAATCATGGATAACATTTTGAAACTAAGGCTAAGCATATATATTTTCATTATGATTATAAACTAGCTATTAACAAAAAGTTTTCAAATCCCAAATACTTCTTATTTGAAATTATTTTTGTTTAAATTTTGTCTAAATCATTTACATTTTTCAAAGAATACAAAATAACTATAAAAATTACTAAGTAATTGTTACCACATTGTAATTCATTGAGTTACATACTTACAATCTGTGCTCTTTCAAACTAAAAAATTTTAAAAAGACATCAAATGTAATAGCAACACTTATCCTAACTGCTCTTCATACTTTTGGCCTGGAAGAAAACAGCATGTTTTCTTATAAATTAAGTAAATGAATTCATTATAGGCCAACAATGATCAATATAGGCAAGCACAGAATCCATTCTTTCCCCTAAGCCACTACACTTTAATGAAATTGAAGAAAAATAAAAATTTAACATAAATTTCCTTTGTATATAGCATACACAACCATTTTTAAAAGATTTTATTCCAAGGCACATTTATTTATCTTTTTACCATTGCTGTCATCGATAAGACTTTCTCTCCACTGCATGATTAAAGGCAATCTAAAGTACAGATCTTTTGCTTACAATACACTAGAGCTACTTTTTTTTTTTTGGTCTGTCTTGTTATGACACTTAAGGTACACAACACCTTCACAAGTTTTTGTTTCAGGAAACAAAATACATATGCCTATGGACAATTTGTTTCAGATGAGAAATTCATTAATTCATACAAAAAGACAGGGTTCTTTTTGTTTCCATCTTGAAATAATGAGTCATCTACTAACTAGCACTTAAAGTGGGTATGTTAGTTTTGGACTGAAAGCTTTTTGTTCCTTATTGTTTATAATTTCAGGTAGGAAGAGATGAGATATTTTGGTGTATAATTGAATTCTAGTAACCCAGTCAGTACAGGATCCAGGATGAACCGTATGTGGGTTTCTATAGTAGTAAAAAAGTAGCTTCAATAAAGGAGATTGCTAATTCATTGCATAGATGAATGCTTTTTGGTGGGACTGCAAAAACAAAATCAGACTAAAAAATCACATAAATTAAGAATCTGAATAATGATATAAATTAAGAACATCAGGTACATTTAAGATCAGAGACGATGGTAAATAAATTTGGAGTCTGGAACAGGATAAACAGAATGGACCCTAGATGGACAGCCTACCACACGTACCCATGCTGTGCTGTGAGACCACTATCCTACGTGTGGTGTGTGACTGTGTGTATTTATTTGTGTATAGTAAGGAAAGACTAAGAACAACTCACTGCCCTTCTTAAAACTGGGCAAATAAATACATATGTATTCATAACGCAATAATATTTGTGATAATTAGTGGCATGCTAAAAAATGTTACATAACAAGACTATTTAATAAGGATTCTCTCACAAAACTGTCAAGCCAATACTACTTTCTTTTACTCATTACACTGATCATTATAACTGTTAAGAGGAAGAGAGAAAGGGACAAGGGAAATATAAGGAAATGGAGGTGGGGAATTTTTTTTTTAAACAAAATGTAGTTTAGATAAACGTTCCGTAAATGAGTACTTCCTGACATTTGAAACAAGACATTATGTTCTGCAACAAAAATATTTTGGTAGAGTGGTGGAATCCAAAGAGGCATTAACACAAATGTAGAATGTTTGGGGAAACTAATTTTTCTTTTTCTTGGGGGGGGTACCTTTCTGATAAGAAAAATGGTTGAGCAAAAACCTTTAGAGAAATGAGTGAGCCAGTGGCTAGTGTCACATTTTTTGTAGAGATAAGAAACTCAAATGACAGTATAGTATAGTAACTCCAAAGCATTCAGCTACTACTAGAGGAAAATGAGAATATGAGAAGGATAATCTCTTACAGTGATTGGTTTAGAATTTTTGTGTTGCAATGAATTTTACCACTATTCTATCTATATAGCAACATATCCTAAGGGAATTCACACTTTTCTAAAACAAATGATGCCTTGTGGAATTTATGTTCTAGTGAGATGAGCAGAAAGTGAACAGATTGTTTAACAGATTAGATGATGTTAAGTGTAGTACAAAAGAGAAAAGCTTAGGAAGGATATTAGAGGGATCATCAATATTACAAAAGCTGACTAATGAAACCCTCACTACCTAAGTACAGCATCTACACAGAAGGACAGCAAACAAGTGATAAATTTCTGGCTTATCCCTATCTACCTACCTCTGCCAAGTTAACATCAATAAATTGCAAACTAAAGCTCATCAAACAAAATAAGCCCATCTTAACCACTTTAACTAAAAAAGCATTCAACAAAAGTAAAGAATGTTGCAGATACTCACCTAGTTCTTTTTCCTAGAATAATTTGACCTTTAAGATGTTTTGGTTCTGGGGTCTCCCTGGTGGCAGACGGGTAAAAGTCTCAGTGCTTTCAAGCTATCGCCAGCCACTGACACATGAGCTAACCCAAAAGGCATAGAAGACCTCTCCTGTAATCACCACTCCAGCGGTGTTATTTCAGTAGATCCACCTGTTCTGCTCCCCAATCACCACTCCAGCGGTGTTATTTCAGTAGATCCACCTGTTCTACCCATTATGTCTCTGGTGAAACCTCTCACTCTCCACACCTTTGGTCTACACCCTAGCTGTATGCATAAATAAATGAATCTTTAAAAAAGAAAAAAAAGGGAGGAGGAGGAAATGTCAGTCCTTAACTATCCTAAACATTCTAGTTCAAGTTTTAGGAAAAATAAACCCATTTCTCCCACATCCTTATTTATATTTCATTCCTTTAAATCTTTGACAAATTTCAGTGTCAGATAAAAGTATTGAGAAAAAAAAGAATTTTAACTGGAAAAATAACATTCATAGCTAATGGAAAATATGAATACATGCTATAATTTTTAACAATGCAAGTGTCCTTAATTATAAATAAGAAAACTTTGTTCTGTACTCTAGCCAAGTGGGCAACTCTTCCTGAGCTCTTGACCAATCCAAAATTTTAGGAATTTATGGAACTCATATAAGCAAAAATAATTCTCCAGGATAAACACAGCAAAAGGCACAAGTGGGAGATGCATGATTTTAGAAACTATATGACCACTGTCACAGTCAAATATATTACTAAAAATATTTTGTAGAATTATACAAACACCTATGGGCTATTCCTAAGGCTTTCTACAGAGTTATTTGGAGCCAGTTACTTAGTTACTAAGCTACTGTTTTAAAGTCTTGCTAAAC